ACACCCTCTTGGCCCAGGGCCCGGCACTTTCTAAACTTTCCAGAGATGGTATTTTATACTTTGAAACAGTGAAAATATATATTCACTTTGGGAAGACATATAAAAAATTATTTGCACGTATCCTGACTGTTGGTGACAAGAAGATAGAATACTCTGAGGTCCAGGATCTTTCCCCATCCTGGTCCTGTCATTTTGAGCAGTCCCAAAGCAGGCCCTTTCTCCCATACACGCCTGGATCAGAAATCTGGATATATGTGTTCTTGTGATATTTTTCATTCAATATATCATCCTCCCAAATGGTTTCTCATGGCCTACTAGTACCTCCTCCCACCCCAGCCCCCGCTCCAAAATTTGAACAGCTCACAACCAACCAAATGTCAGAGGCATTAGAGAAGCTGATTTCTTAACCAATGTATACAGGAGTGCTTCTCAGCCTTCCATCTTAGGTAAAACAAGCAGCAGAACAAAGTCTCGTTTGTTTCTCATGTTTTCTGTGCCCAGCATCAAGCCCTGTGCCTGGGCGTGCTCCCCACCACTGAGCTGCACCCCAGCCCACAAACCTTCTTTGCTAGCAAACAGTCCTCACTGCAGATGGCAGGATTCTTTGTTGCGGCTTTGAAGTTCCAGTTCCACTACACCTCCCAGGATGTCCGCCCCTCGCCCATGAATCTCCTATTTAAATCCTGAACTGGATAATTGTGTAATTCTGAAAATTTTCTCCACCTATATTCAGGGAACTGCTTTGTCACATGTTGTTGAGTTGGACGGTCCCCAGCCCCAGGCTAACACAGTATCTGGCGACTGTAGCCCTTGTTCCTCTGTCAGCCTGGGCACTGTTCTCAGACATGGGAAGAGCTGGACCAGCTGGTATGTGATAACTTAAAATTTGCTCAAATCATGGTGCTGGCAACATTTGATCACCATACTTACAACTGTAACTGATTGCTCAGAGCAAGTCTAAATGGGAGGTTGGAGTAAGAGACAAGCAGAGGTGCTTGCTCCCCAGACCGGACCGACTGAGAATCAATAGCATAGCATCCTTATCACAATGCCTAGCAGGGCAATAGTTGTTTAAGTTTGCACCTCAAGCAAACAGACTCGTGAGGACTGACATTGGCTGGCTGAGCTCCTGGGAGGCTGAGTTCTGGGCATTGCACAGTAGTACTGTGATGTGATGTGATGTTCTTTGGACCTTTCTGTGGGGCCCACCACTAAGCTCCCAAATGAATTACACACAGAAGTTTATTCTTCATAAATGCCTGGCCTTAGCTTGTTGGCAGAGGTTTTTGTCCTGCCCAGTCCTGCAGCCATTCAATCCCAAAGAAACACACAGAGGCCTGCATTAATCATAAAGTGGTTGGCCTATTAGCTCAGGCTTCTTATTAACTCTTATAACTTACCCTACCCCATAATTCTGGTCTGTGTCAGCCATGTGCCTTGGTACCTTTTATCAGTGAGATGCTCTCATCTTGCTTCCTCTGCGTCTGGGTCACACCTGCAGACTGAACCTTTCCTCTTCCCAGAATTCTTCTGTTCTGGTCACCCCGCCTATACTTCCTGCCTGGCTACTGGCCAATCAGCATTTTATTAAACTGGTACAAGACCACTGCCCACAGCATTAGCTTGGCTTGTTTCTTGCCCACTTCACTTAACTTATATTATCCTATCTACCCTTTGGCCTCTGTGTTTTTCCCACTCTCTTACTTCTGTAAATCTCAATCTTACCCCTGATGTGGATGGCTGTGTAGCTGGGTGGCTGACCCTGATGTGGACGGCTGTGTAGCTGGGTGGCTGACCCTGATGTGGACGGCTGTGTAGCTGGGTGGCTGACCCTGATGTGGATGGCTGTGTAGCTGGGTGGCTGACCCCTGATGTGGACGGCTGTGTAGCTGGGTGGCTGACCCTGATGTGGACGGCTGTGTAGCTGGGTGGCTGACCCCTGATGTCCTCTCCTTCTCTGGCTACTTCTCCTCCGAACCCTTCCTCTCGGTTTTCTCCTATATATTCTCTCTATGGGCCAACCCTGCCTATCCTTTCTCTTGCCTCACTATTGGCCGTTCAGATCTTTATTAGTCCATCAGGCGTTCTAGACAGGCAAAGCATCACAGCTTCACAGAGTTAAACAAATGCAACAGAAACAAAAGTGACACCTGAAAATAATATTCCCAAGCGCATCGTGTCCATTCACAGTGAAATGTGAGGTTGTGTTTATCTGTTTGGTTTTATTTCCAGAGGCAGTGGGTAGAGTCTCACCTATTGATCATTCTCTAAGTAGAAACAAGCTTTTCAGAACAGAATATGAGCAAATGGAGTTTGGGAGGGTGTTTTGAAGGTGCCATGGAGAACTGTCTGCATACATTGCTACAGGTAGCCAGGCTAAGACACTTTTTTTATAAAGATTTATTTATTTATTTATTTATTTATTTATTTATTTATTTATTATGTATACAGTATTCTGTCCACATGTATACCTGAAGGCCAGAAGAGGGTGCCAGATCTCATTACAGATGGTTGTGAGCCAGCATGTGGGTGCTGGGAATTGAACTCAGGACCTCTGGAAGAGCAGCCTATGTGCTTAACCACTGAGCCATCTCTCCAGCTCAAGATGAGCTTGTTTTGATTATGATTTGCCTTCTTCTGTCAACGTAGTCCTTCCTCCACGGTGTGGATGCTCCTCGCTTTGACTCGGTGCATGGACTACATCTGGAATAGTTGAGTCACCATCAAATTAGTGAGCCGGACTGATATCAAAATTTCAACAGCTTTAGCAATAATTACCGAGTGACAAGAGCGAGCCTGCTGCACTTGCTGTGATGTAGCAGCTGCAACCACCCCAGCCAATTCTAAGAAACAGCTTCACTGGAAAGCAAACTCCTTACCTTTGACGCTGGTTCTCACTTCATACAATTTAGTAGAAAAAGATTAAACTACACTTACACCACCCTTGAGTCCACCGTATACAATCTATGCCTCTTTGGCCTCCGAACGTGCATGTGGATGTGGTGACAGATTCTGATTTCGGGACAGGTCTAAACCCAGTGATTGCCAAAGGATCGAGATCACTGGGGTGGGGAGTGGGAAGCGAGGTTCCTGGAAAGAAATATAAACTCTGTGGAGAGCTTTTGTGAGAACTGGGAAGCTGGCCTTAGCTGTGGTTATTTCCCATGAAAATGCAGCTTTCTTTTCTTTTTCGGAGTTTTAAAGAAATGCTGTATCAGGGCACTAGGGCATTAGCTCAACCGAAGGTACACTTTCTCCAGTGATGTAGGAATGGCTCGCCGATTGCTTACAAAGCACTTTGAAATGTTCAGGGGCACTTTGTTTCTCTTCTTGAGATAGGGTTTCTCTGTGTAGCAGTCCTGGCTCTCCTGGAACTCACTTTGTAGACCAGGCTGGACTCGAGCTCACAGAGATCCACCTGCCTCGGCCTTCCCAGAACTGGGATTAAGGGCGTGTGCCAGGCGGTTGCACTTTTGAAAGTACAGATGTTCACGCTTCCCCGGGAACACCATCTTGATATTTAAAAATATAATAATACGTCCAGGATCAAACAAACATGCCTTGCACTAAGTACAGATGTTCACACTTCCCCGGGAACACCATCTTGATATTTAAAAATATAAGAATACGTCCAGGATCAAGCAAACAGGCCTGTCCCCTAAGCTGGACCACATCCATTTATCCAGGCACTTTGGTAGGTCACAGAAATATAATATTGAGTAAAAATGGCATAGCCTCCCTGTCATTCACAGAGCTGATAGTTTTGTATGACAATGGCTCCAGGTGCATCCCACAAGAACAAGCTGTGTTTCCCATTCGCGTTTCCACAGTCGGGTTTTTATTAGAAAAATGAAGCGAAATGAACGCAAAAGGAAAGCCAGGCAGCTATGGTGAAGGCATCTGGGATTAGCCTGGGTCTCACAGGCGTAACACAACACAGGCAAAATGAAGTTAGTTGTTGTGTTTGTTTGGTTTTAAGAATGTTTTGTTCCTTTGTTTGTTTGTAGCTGAAGCTGGCCTCAAACTTGCAACCACCTTCCTGCCTTGGCCTTCCAGGTGATGGAATTACCCACCTGGGCAGACAGCACGCCTGGCTGAAAGACTGTCTGCAACCGCAGTAGCCGGGCAATGAGCTGCCGCTCCTAAAAGGCAATACTGTTCCCACCTTGGCTTCTTCCTCAACAGTGAGGGGAGGAAACCAGCCCCGCGTGCTGAAAACACTTAGAAAAGGCAGTACTGGAGGAGCTGTGGAGGTTCTCACCCCAGCAGGACTGAGCTGAGCAGCTCCCGAGGAAGCCACTCCTCCGGGCAGTGGGGATGCCAACAGTAAGCAGTGGGCTCTCAGATGACTGCCTTCCAGCCAACATCCCCACCTTCACCTCAGGGCAGGACCCAAGCCAGAACCCAGGCGAGGCACTCCTGAATCCTTCCTGTCCAAGAGAGGCTGTGAGAAATAATAAATGTTTATTTACGGTTACTTTAAGACCCTAAATTTGGATGTGCTGTGTTTCTCCGCTGCAGATAACAGATACCCGGCAGAACGCATCCAGATCCGACATATGTGTTCATTAACATAAAGAGAAACATCCAGCCATGCTGGCGTGTGCCTGAATTCCTAGTATTCCAGAGCCAAAGCAGGAGGCCAGTCTAAGCCACAGAGTGAGACCCTGAAGGGAAAGGAGGGAGAGCGGGTGGGAGGGAAGGAGGAAAAGTGGGAGGAAGGGGAGAAGAGAGAGAGAGGGGAGGGAAGAACTTACCGCTTACTGTTTAAGGCTACTTTATAAATTTTATGATATTTCTGTTTTTTTTCTTTTCTCTTGTAAAATCTAAATGTTGTGGTGGATGAATTACCAAGAAAATATGCATAATACCATGTTTAATGAAAAAAAGCAAATGGTAAATTCTCACAGTATGAATCGCTGCAAACCGTGAGCTTAAACCTCAGTGGTGGGATTGCATTCAGAAGAAAACGCGGAGAGCAACGGTTAATTATTGCCACTTCACACACGGTGCCCCGCTTCAGAGCGTAAAACAAAACGGCTCTGTGCAGTGTAGACGGGGTGCAGGGAGCAGTGGGTAGACGGGGTGCAGGGGGCAGTGCAGATGGGGTGCAGGGGGCAGTATAGACGGGGTGCAGGGAGCAGTGGGTAGACGGGGTGCAGGGGGCAGTGCAGACGGGGTGCAGGGGGCACTGTAGACTGGGTGCAGGGGGCACTGTAGATGGGATGCATGGGGCACCGTAGATGGGGTGCAGGGAACACTGTAGACGGGGTGCAGGGGACACTGTAGATGGGGTGCAGGGGGCACTGTAGACGGGGTGCAGGGGGCACTGTAGACGGGGTGCAGGGGGCACCGTAGATGGGATGCAGGGGGCACCGTAGACGGGGTGCAGGGAACACTGTAGACGGGATGCAAGGGGCACTGTAGACGGGGTACAGGAGGCAGTATCTCTGGCCCCCCGTGGGAGTCATTGGGTTCTCTGGAGTCTGCAGTCAGCTTACAGCTTCACCCAAGTCAGATCTCCAAGATGGCACCATTCTCCTGTCCACTTACCAAGGCTAAGTCACTGGGATCCAATTGCATCTTCCATAAGGTCTTTTCAGCCACAGAGTCCAGCTTTCCTTAAACAAACCACCTCTGGCTTCGTTGGGCGGAGTCTCAGGGCAGAGCAACAGATGGAGGCCTCTTAAAACTTAGGCTTAAGGGGGCTGGAGAAATGGCTCAGAGGTTAAGAGCATTGCCTGCTCTTTCAAAGGTCCTGAGTTCAATTCCCAGCAACCACATGGTGGCTCACAACCATCTGCAATGGGGTCTGGTGCCCTCTTCTGGCCTGCAGGCATACACACAGACAGAATATTGTATACATAACAAATAAATAAATATTTAAAAAAAAAACTTGAGCTTAAACTTATACCACTCTGGGTATCCACATTTTATTAGTTCAAACTCAAGCGAGCCCACTTTCACTGCCAGTGCAGTCTATACAGCTTGGAGTCTGGTCAGCACGGTGTACTGGATGCTTCGTTAAACAGACACAACATCTACCTCTCCAAACAATCCCAAGTGAGGATTCTCTTTTAATAAAACAATAATGTCAAACATCCATTGCCACAAAGCCGTGTCTTAGAGGACAGTCTGTGCTGGTTTGGGGTAGTTCAGCCTCTAATATCTGCCAGGTCATCTGGGATATAGAGTTCTTTTGGCTCAAGCATGCTGCTTAATTATAGTTATTACAGCAAATTTCTCTTTAGGGAGTGTGTGATACTCATTTTAATAATACAGGGGACTTACAGGGCTTCTATCCAGGCACGATTTGATAGGCCCTATTTTGTCTGTGATGTTTATGGATGGTCACAAGAGGCATGAATAGACTAAAAAAGCTAATTTCTGTTAATATTTTCAAACAAAACTCTTGTGAACTCTTAAGAAAAAAATACCTGTTTTAAACTATTGAAATTTTGGAAATTTACTTAATGTGAGACACCTTGTTCAATTTATAGTTATAAGTAAATCCTTGGCATTAGTGAATCTTAGTCAATGTCAAAAAGACTGAGATGATTCCTAAAATATTAGCACAAACAGCTTTCAGACAGATTTTGCTATTGTAAAAATTATGAATTTAACAGCCAAGTTGAACTTGTTTTTTGTAATTAAAATCAGAGTAACAGTTCATGGCATGTGGCCCGAAGCAAGCTATGCCCACAGTTTGCATGGTCTAGACAACAGTAGGGTTAATGGGTACCTGCTTTTCTTCAACCTTCCTGGCAGTTAGCCATTGCATTTCTGTGCAGAAGCAGAAGCTCTGAGCTGTAACCTTGGCTATGAGAGCTGAGCAGCCCACACAGACAGCCCTGAAAACACCGCACAAAGCTTCAGGTCCACCGGCTTCTTCCACACAAACCCATCTCAAGACGACCAAGGACACGGGCAAGAAACAACCCTAGGAAAATGTCACATTGCAAATGAAATGTTGGAGGCTGTCCAGCCCCACAGGAAAGCGCTTGCCCTGCAAGCTCAGGGGCCTGAGTTTGAACTCAGATAGCCCTGTCCCTAATCCTAGCTCTCCTATGGGAAAAAAGAGATATGGAGGCAGAAGAATCCTCAGAGACTCACAGGTCAGAGAGACTGACTTAAATAGCTGAGGAAATCATAGACGGCAAAGAGCAACCCACAAGACCATCTTCATACTTAAATACACACCATACATGCACACGCATATACAAAAGTTTACAGAGGAAAAGAAATGAAGCATTGGGTTTCTCTTTTTTTTTTCCCACTATGAAATGTTAAGAATTAGATTAACATGAACTGTTCACTTCAATGTTTCTGTATGGACTGAAGAGATGGCTCACTGGTTAAGAGCACTTGGCTGCTCTTACAGGGATGAGTTCGGGCCCCAGAATCCACATTGGGCAGCTCACAACCACACCCACATATACAGGCACAGACATGCACTCAGGCACACGTATAACTGAAATATTTTAAAATCTTTAAAAAGAAGTCGTTCTACAATCACAACAGTGGCCATTAACTGAAGGCTTGCTGTCTCCCCATCAGAACAGGCAATATGCCTGTATTGTCACTAAATAGTCTCTGGAGATGTTATTACAATATGTGTTCTCATTACACTGTTTAAGTGACTTTCCCAAGGTCACCCATGAGGAAAGTGCTAGAGTTGGGATCCCAACCCTTGTCTGCCTGGTGCCGAGTCAAGCACCATTTACTATAAGACACCCTAGTGCGACTCCAAGGCACTCTCTGGAGAGGAACCAAGGTGATAATGGCAGTGGTCTACTTTAGACTAGCAATCAATCAATCAATCTGAAACCCTAACCTGTTCTATTGGTTTCTTATACACATACAAATTGTCTCTTCTTTAGAAATTACCTACATATCGAACAATTTTTTCCAAGATTTTTATTTGTGTGAGAGAGTGTGTATATGCGTCTCATTGTGTGCAGGTGCCCCTGGCAGCTAGAAGATAGGGTTGATCCCCTGAAGATGGAGTTCCAGGAGATGGCGAGACACCTACCCTGGGTTCTGGGGTCTGAATTCAGGCCCTCGGCAAGAACAGCAAATGCCCTTAACCACAGAGCCATCTCTCCAGCCCCCTCAGACGATTTACATAAACAGATTGTAGACATGTTCTCTGGGTGCTGTGTCATGGTCACCAGTACCGTCTGACCTCGAGGACCACCCATGACTGTGACAAACGCCACAATAAAAGGCGCCCAAGGATTTGGTGAATTTGCTGAACCCACACAGAAAATTGGTTCAGTCCTAAAGGCTTAAGACCCTAACTTCAAGCCTTTTAAAAAATATTCCTGAGATTACATTTTTGTTTATTTTATTTTATTTGATATCTTTTCAGCTTTTAAGACTCTTAGACACATCCACTATTTAGGGACTTGTGCAATTCTCATCCCATAGTTAAATGTGGTAACTTCTCGTCAGGTTTATGCAAGGCCTTAGATGCTTTCTGTGGCAGTTTTACGCACTGTGTTGATGAGTCTGAGGAGTAGGGAGACCATGGATGAGTTCGTGAGAGGCTGCATCCCAAACCGCTAAAACATGGGGAAGAGCTCACTCTGCCAGTCAGAAATTCCTTTTCCTAAAATGTTTGGGGAAACCTATTCCTTGTTGTCCAGCTAATCACTGGATCTAAAGTATAATACTTGTGATGCCCAGGCCAGAGTCGGGCTGAGCTCCTGGGTCCTCTTCTTTCTCTGGCCCCCTAAAAGTTATTTCAGGGGAGTCAATTGCTTCCCAGATTTTGTTTTAGTTTGTCTTATTTTGCTTCCTTCAGTATATCCCGAGTCTCCTCTTGATAATCATTGTATTCCCCTGTCTGCCTTCTTTTGGCAATAGCTGACCTGGCTGTGAGCCCAAAACATGGTAAATTACAAATTACTACCAGATGAAGCTACAAGTTTTCCAAGGAGCACTTCCTCCAGGCTCAGAACATTGTGGGGCTCAGTGACATCACTGGAATGATTAAGACTTGTGTGTGTGTGTTCACGTGCATGCCCAGATGTGTCTGTGTGTGTGCACGCATGTGTGTGTTGTCAGCCAAATGTGTGCACATTGCTAGATGATAGAGAATTAATGAAATGTCCCGTTAGTTTTTAAAATTAGAAAATAAGAAATAAGTTGCAGTGGCCCAGGGAAAGGTATAATAGTGACAAGAAATATATATGAAATAAGTTATAATTCTCTCCTTTAAAGTTATTTTCTCAATAATTTATCTTTAATTTAAAATTTTACATAGTTAAAAATAATTTTAATTCTAATATTGGAAATGAGACTTCTTAGCCATTCGGTAGTGGCACATAGTTTTAATCCCAGCTCTCAGGAGACAGAGGCAGATCTCTGAGTTCAAGGCCAACCTGATCTACATAGTGAGTTCCAGGACAGTCAGGGCTACACAAAGGAATCCTGCCTTAGAAGAAAAACAAAAAACAAAAACAGGAAATCAGACTTCTTGGGAAGTTAAAAAAATAACAATATTCCTATTAAAATGTTTTCTTACTTTTAATTTTCAATACTTCTGACTAAAGAGCACGTGTTATGATTTTTATTAACAAATAATAAATGTTCATTCAGTTAAAAAAAACTTTATTATTTTGTAGATAATTTTAATAATGTGGGTAAGGTAAATTTCCAAGACTCTAGTAAGTTAAAAATAGAAGAGAAATAGAAAATTCAATTCTATTACTAAGTCCACAATAAATGTAATTTTTTTTAATCATGTGAATGACTGTTCCTATATTTTCATCCAGGTGTCAAGCTGTCTTTCTCAGTCCCCAAATGCTAAATGTCAGTTTTAAATCTGAATTTCTCACACAAGCTACAGAAAAATTGTTCAGGAAAATAATTAGAAAGCACCTCCTAAATAAGTATAATTTGGGGTGTCTGTTTGTGTCTGTTTGACTGGTTCTGTATACAAGTGGAAAAAGTAGAGCATCTATCAAATTTAAATGGAACATCTGTAAAACGCTTTTCGAGAGAATGTTACAATGTTATAAATCAGTATGTGGGTGTTTAAAACAAAGTGATCGGGCCCTGTGTTTTGTGGGTTTGATTTATTCCCATGTTTCACGGCGGTGCTTACACTTCAGCAAAGCTCAAGGAGCCAGATTTCTTCGGAAGTCCCTTCCCACCAAGGTATTTCTATTAAATTCAGCTGTGGCGGCAAGAGTTCATCTCTAAATCCGTGGTTGTTCGGGAGGCTGGCAGGGAACTCCCGCTGCAGCCCAAGCTGGCCTTGAACTTGAGATCCGCTTGCCTGAGTCTCCAGTCGCACGCGTGCACCACCTGGCCCCAAACCCTGTATGTTGATCCTGTAACCCTAACAACCGTTCACATGTAAGCACGCGGTAAACACAATGCCGATTCCCGGGCTTGGAAAACAGAGACATGGAAAGCCATCCAATGACGGCTGCGGAAGAAGCCGGCCAAGAGTCAGAGCTAC